CACAGGTAACATGAGCATTTAGGGAGAATATCTGACAGAACCTACAGAAACGCTGCTAGAACGAGGAAGGAAATTTAGCAAGGTGGCAGGATAGAAGATCAATACATAAAAATGTATTTCATTTCTATATGTAGCAATAATCAATCAGACATTAAAAGAAAAATGCCATTTTTTAAAGGTTTTGCCATAGGGTGCATGCGCTCACCGAGAGACAGAGAGAGGGAAAGTGAAAAATCACCCCGCCCCGGGGGGTGGCTATACTGCCGTCCCTTCTCCTGGGATTTTGGACACACATGAACATGCACCTGGTGTGATTTCCAAGTTGCCAGGTCCAAGCTTCAAACCCTGATCGATCATGTGCGAGTCCAGCACCTTAACTACTATGCCACCTGCTGGCCTTGCGATAGAAAGCACATGAACATATGTGGGACAGAGAAAAAGCGCCTTTGACAGGGCCTCGTCACACCACAGTCCCCCTTCCTCAGCCCTGTGGCCTGAGTGCGGTGTGTTTTCAGGCCAACCTGGGGATCCGAACCCAGAGGCAGCCATGTGGTCTCTATCACTACAGTCCGGTACCTATGGATGGTGCCATCTAGTCTGGGCCGAAAGACACGACTCACAAGGGCGTTGAAATCTGAAATACTTAGTGATAAATCTGACACGCATCTGACGAAGCTATGCAAGACCCAGACACTGACCACCACGAGCCTTTAAGGAGAGAAATGAAGGAAGTCCGAGTACGTGACGAGACACACCTGGCTTATGGTTGGAAAACTCAGTGTTAGGATGGCAAAGATGCCTGGAGTTGATCTTTAGATTCAGTGCAATTCTGCTCAAAATCCTAGGAGGCATGTTTCTTTCTAAATTAGAAATTCACATACTGATTCTACTGGGTCGTCGGAAAAGTCATGACGCGTTTTGTTTCTCAATGCAAGAATGCGCGATTCCCCACGACGCAGTAGAATTCGTACGGAATTGTAGGACGGCTGGAAGAGCCACCATGGCCTTGAAAGGGAGGAGCAGAGAACAGGCACAGAATCTGACTTCAAGACGGTCGTGAAGCCGACAATCAGGACGCCTCAGGGGTGCCTGCATTGAGCCGGACAAAAAGATCAGTGGGACAGTCTGAGAGCAGACCGCGCACAAGGCCCGCCTTCCCACCGGCTCAAAGGCAACCGGCGCGGAAGGGCAGTCCTTTCAGTGAGTACCAGCGGGATCGCCGGCCATCGCACACGGAAGGTGGCCTTCGCTCGCTGCCCACGCCGCGCACGAGACGGCCGACTCGAGGTAAACCCTGGACCTAGGGCAAAACCTGAAGCTAGAAGCAACCGGAAGAAAGTGTGGGCGAGGAGAAGCTCCGTGACCGCGGGTCAGGCTGAGGTTTCGCAGACAGGCCATCCACCGACCACCCAGAAAGAACGCAGCGACTAGGCTTGCACCTGCTTTTCCAAAGGCACTGTCCAGAGGGTGAGAAGACAGTGACCGGGAGGAAATATCTGCAAAGCACGTGTCCGACGCAGGACCAGCATGCAGGATGTGTCGGGACTCTCAAACTCCGGCGAGAAAACAGCCCTTGCGACCAGCAGATGGCGTAATGGTTATGTCACTGGACTCCTACATGGCCGACCATGGTTTGAGTCCCAGACCCGGCGGCTGGAAACTCACACCAGGCACATGTGCGTGCGTGCCCAAAATCCTGAGGGGAGAGTGGAGTCGAAGGCGTTTGGTGTGGCCATCCCCCGCCGGGGGGTGATTTCTTGCTGTCTCTGTCTCTCTGGCAAGCACACGCAGCCTATAACAACAATCTCTCTCTAAAAAAATGAGAGGACAGATAGCCCACTGGAAAATAGGCAACGGTTTGAGCAGAGGACACTCTACGAAGATGTCAGATAGATTCTTCTTCTTTTTTTTTTTTTTGCTATAGGGCACGTGCACTCGCCAGACAGACAGAGAGAGATAGAAAGTGAGAAATCACCGCCCCAGGGTGATGGCCCCGCCACAATCCCCTCTCCTCCATTCTCCTCTCGGGATCTTGGGCACGCACGCACATGCGCCAGGCGTGAGTTTAAGCCACCGGGTCCAGGACTTGAACTGCTGTCAACTACATGGGAGTCCAGCTACAAAGCCATTATGCTAACTGCTGGTCCCAGATACATTCTTTTTTAAAAAAGAATCATTTAATTTTATTTATTATTATTATTTTAAAATTTGCTATCAGGCTTGTGTGCTCACCAGAGACAGACAGAAACAGAGAGACAGAGAAAGTGAGAAAAGAAGCCCCTAGACCAGGACTCAAACCATGGTCAGCCAAGTGGGAGTTCATTGCCTTAACCACCACGCCACCTGCCGGCCCTGTCAGATAGATACTTAGTCATCAAGGACATGCAAATCAAGACCGCAGTGCGGTACGTGCCACACCTCGGAGATGGCTAACGTGATAGACCGACAGCGCCGGGTGTTGGCCAGGACGCGAGAGGATGTGGAAGTGGCCCAACCACTTTGGAAATAGTGTGGTACTTACTTAGGAAGTTACGCGTGCGCTTGCTACAGCCATTTCATTCCTAAGGTTAAAAAAAACTTTTTAAAAAGGTTTTTGCCACAGTGTGCACTCACTGGAAAGGAAAGAGACAGGAGAGGCAGTGAGAGGAAAGTGAGAAATCATCCGCAGGGCGTGTGGCCACACCGCAATCTCTTCTCCATCTCCTCCTGGGATCTTGGGCGCACACACATGCACTCAGCATGATTTTCAAGCCGCCAGGTATGGGACTTGAACTGTGGTCAGCCATGTGGGAGTCCACACCCTCACCACTATACCACCTGCTGTCCTCTCATTCCTAAGTATTTCACTGGAGGAAAAAAAAATGAAACGTGCCCACGCACGCCCTGACACGTGAATGTCCGTAGTGGACTTATTGGTAACAGCGCAGACTGGAAACAGCCACACGTCCTTCACAGTGAACGGAAAAACAAGCGGCCGTGTTCCGAGCCCGGCGACCCCGGCTGCTGCACACGACAGCCTGGGGCTGTCCCAGAGCAATGGGGCTGTGTGAGCGCCAGCCCAGGGTGAGTGCATGTGGCACGGCCCTGTTGGTGTAAAACCCTCGGAAACGCAAACCACTCCACAGTGCCAGGAAACGGATCAGCGCTGGTCTGGGGAGAGAGCCTTGAGTGGGAGTGAGGAAGACTCCAAAGGGGCACGAGGAGTTGTAGCTTTGGGGGCGAGAGCTATCTCCGTCATGGTGTCGTGGGTATAGACGTATCTTGCACACGCTGACCGTGCATAGTTTATTGTATGTCTGTTACACTTAATAACACTGTTTAAAAGGCATGTGTGCAAAAACCCGAGCCCACAGAGGTGGGCAAACCACTGCATCATTACGGACTCACCCGAGGACGCCTTCCGACGCTTCCCTGTGACACAGACGGGGTTACAGACGGAGCTCAGGGAGGCACCGCCCTCCCTGCCACCCTCCCCGCGGTGCAGAGTGCCGGGGCGAGAGTGCGCACTGGCCCGCTGTGCTCCACAGTGCGCCAGTGCCTCCCACGGGACCTGCATCTTACAGGACCTGGGGCACTGCCCGCGGAGCCCCCCTGGGCTCCCCTCTGTCCCTGCCCTGGTGGGGAGCCATGACTGGAACAAATCTCCGTGCTTGCAGAACACTCGGTTGCAAGCTCTCTCTGTTATCAGCGACAGACCGGACTAGCGCAGAGTTTGACTCAGGACAGCATCCACCTCCCCAGCCTTAACAGGTGTGCTTCCATTCCGATGTTCAAAACCACTTTGCTATCATTGTGCCCACGACACCTGCCTGGTGTGTCTCCTCAGCCTCACATCTGCTCCACCCTGGAAGTATTAGGAGGCTGTGGCCCGGGCTCCTGGCGGCGGGTGGGCTGGTGCCATTATAAAGGGCCCCCTCGCCCTCCCGCTTCCCCATATGACAGTGTACAAGGCCTCTTGCCTGATGCCAGGACCCCGAGTCAGTGCTCTTCTGTTTGTCTACACCGCCATTCCCAGGATAAAGCTATTTCAAAGGCAAATGTGCAAAAACCCGAGTCTAGAGCCAGGCAAGACCGCATCACTACTCAGAGCACGATGGACTTACCTGAAGACGCCTTCGCTGCTCCCTGTGACACAGACCCAGCTCACAAAGATGACAGCACAAAACAGCCTAGACCCGGCGGCCCAAGGAGAAGCGCTCCTGGAGGCCGAGGGTTACACATGCCTGCATTTTCTACCTGCTCGGATACACACACGCTGCGCGCTAAGACTCTCCCCTCACTGCGGCTCAGCAGGAGAGCCCCCCCACGAGGTGAGCTGCAGGAAGGTGGAGGAGGTTGGCTGCAAGGAACACCCAGATGGATGGGCAGAGGCCAGAGTGCCCAGGAGGGTTGATGTCACAACCTGAGCGGATTGCCACGGTCCCACCTGAGGCCACACGAACTCGCCTCTGTCCCCACGTAGGGGGAAGCCAGCGAGGGGACCCAGCTATCTCCACGTAGCAGCCTCACGTGGCCCTGCAGGGACAGGCTTCCCAGGACGCTCCCTGCCGGCTCCATTACTCTTCTGAGCCGAGGGTGGCTGGGACAAACATGAGCGAGATAGCGAGCAGCCAGGCTGCCCCGGAGAGCGAGCCTGAGTCTGGAGACCTGGAGACCTTGCTGCCCAGGGCGGACAGCTGCACCCTGGGTACCTGGACCAGGGGCACGGGCCGAGGCGGGGATAGAGGGAGGACTAGGAAGGAACCAGTAGGGCTTCTTGGGCCAGTGGGAGTTGCCTTGTCCCCTTTATCCATGCCCCATCCAGTGGCTGCCCCTGGGGGATGCGGGAGCAGGTGGAGGGGGGGGACCACCTGACTCCACACCTCCCTCCCCAGCCCTCCTCCCTCCAGTGGACCCGGAAAGCAGGGACATCCCAGCATTCTTCATCAACAGTTCCAAGAGGCTCGACATGCTCATATCTGTCAAAAAGCATTCCAGAAAAAAAGAGAAAGTCTCTATACCTTTTATTCAGCCAATTTTCCCCGAGGCACTCTGGGCTCTCTAAGAAAAGAAAGAGAGAGAGACAGTCACCATCGGTGTCCCCGGTCTGCCCGAAGCGGTTGGGCTAGCATCGCCCTGGAGCCCGAGGAGCCCACCCAGGTGGACCTTGCTGCCGCCCGTGCTCCCCTTCCGCCTGACCCACGGCGACGCAGGGACACCACCGCCCGGGCGGCCCAGGCTCCCTTTCTGTCACGGCGTAGGCGCCTTTGCGTCCTGCTCTTTCCTTTGCCCTCAACTCCAAGGGATCGCTTCCTCTTCGCCCGAAGCCCCTGGCGTTAAGGCGGTCCCAGCGCAGACACTGCGAAATGCGATGGTGGTGTTCAGTCCCCAGGGGGCTCCCTCTGCTGCTCTGCACCGCACCCACTTACTATCATGTCAGCGAGCAGTGACAGGATGCTAACTGCCACCACACACGCACACACACACACACACACACGCACACGCACACACACACACACATGCACACACGCACACACGCACACACACGCACACACGCACACACACGACAGCAGAAGCAACATCGTGTCCTGTTTTGGATTAAGTGCAGCTTTCAGGAACTTCTGCCAGCAGGAGCCACCCAGAGCTGGCCCGACAGGTAGAGGGGCCTTCCAAAAGTCCACGGAAATGCATATTATGAAAAAACTATACATGGATTTCAAAATGTTTTGTACCAAAATAAACTCTTTTTTATCCTATGAACTCTTCCTTCCTTCCTTCCTTCCTTTCCTTCTTTTCCTTTTTTTAAGGTTCTTTTGAAGAAGACACACACACACACAAAACAAGAGAGGGAGAGGGAGAGAGAGGGAAACTGAAAAATTAAAATTATTCCCTAGTGGGGATGGCCATGCTGCCGTTCCTTCTCCACTCTCCTCTTGGGCTCTGGGGCATGCATACGCACGCATCCAGCATGGTTTTCAAGCCAGGTCTGGTACTCGAACCACTGTCAGCCACATGGGATCCAGCTGCCTTAACTGCCATGCCACTGCTGGGTCCCCAAGAACTTTCTGAAGTCCTCTTACCCTTACTCATTGGTGCTGAGGGACTCAGGGGACTTGGGTTGTTGCCTGAAGTCATGGAGCTGACCCGTGGGGACTGGGGACATCCGCACGAGGGCCTGGGCTCTCATCCTGCCCTTTCCTCAGCAGGTCACTCAGGAACTTAGAAAAGGGGGGGACTTTAAAAAAAAAACTTGTATTTTCATTTCTTTTGGTAATGTTTTCTAATTTTCCACGTATAACTTGCACGTCTTTTTGTTGTAAAATATGCATGACAACCACCTCTAGCCATTTCCATGTGTGTGGTTCTGGGCCCTAAGCACATCACATCCACTGTCATGCCGCATGCCCTTTCTGGAACTGTGCGATACCGCCCAAGGAAGCCCGGCCCACGAGGTTGTCCCCCCGCCCGTCCTCTTCCCGTGTGTGTGTGTGTGTGTGTGTGTGTGTGTAGGTCTTTGAAACATTGTAAAAAGCAGATAAAAGCAAGTGGGATGCCTCATCCACACCACCATGGCGGGCGGGCGGTGGCTGCTGTTTCTTCTGCACATTTCCTGCCAGACCGCCCCCCAGCCTCACTCAGCCAGCGCTGTCTGGGCAGCTCAGTGTGGCAGTGCGACCTGAGCCGGTCGGGTTCAGAGGAGAAGGTGGGGCTGCCCTCCCTGGTGCACTGTGCAGGGGAGCAGCCACCAGCCAGGGCCAGCAGAGCAAGGCGGGCGTCCGGGCTCAAAGGGTCTCTGCACCCCACTTGTGCCACTCCTGCCAATGGCCGCCCAGTGATGTTTATGGAGCTAGAAACGGCACAGCTTCCCAGGGGAGCCTGGTGGGTGACAAGTTAACTGGCCACCTCACTAGACCACGCGCCCCATGAGCAGAGGACACGCTTAGAGGCCCTGGAATCTCTGGAGCCTGGTGCGGGGCTGCGACAGGTGGGAGGCAGTGGGTGTTTGCCAGATGCATGAGCCCACGGGTGTTTGTCCCATAGGCCAGAGCGGGGCCCCTGCTTGGGAGCAAGAGTGGGACTTCCAGGGTCATAGGTGCCCTGGGGAGTCCAGTCATGGGTGGAGAGTCCTCACTCCATAGACCCTTGCCCACACTCTGTCTCACCACTCCCCTTCAGGCCCTGAGCACCACCCGGCACCCAGCCCAGGCCCTCCAAGAGCCAGCCCTGCCAGTGCCCAGCCCCTCCAGTGCCCAGCCCCGCCAATGCCCAGCTCCTCCAATGCCCAGCCCTGCCAGTGCCCAGCCCCTCCAGTGCCCAGCCCCGCCAATGCCCAGCTCCTCCAATGCCCAGCCCTGCCAGTGCCCAGCCCCTCCAGTGCCCAGCCCCGCCAATGCCCAGCTCCTCCAATGCCCAGCCCTGCCAGTGCCCAGCCCCTCCAGTGCCCAGCCCCGCCAATGCCCAGCTCCTCCAATGCCCAGCCCTGCCAGTGCCCAGCCCCTCCAGTGCCCAGCCCCGCCAATGCCCAGCTCCTCCAATGCCCAGCCCTGCCAGTGCCCAGCCCCTCCAGTGCCCAGCCCCGCCAATGCCCAGCTCCTCCAATGCCCAGCCCTGCCAGTGCCCAGCCCCTCCAGTGCCCAGCCCCGCCAATGCCCAGCTCCTCCAATGCCCAGCCCTGCCAGTGCCCAGCCCCTCCAGTGCCCAGCCCCGCCAATGCCCAGCTCCTCCAATGCCCAGCCCTGCCAGTGCCCAGCCCCTCCAGTGCCCAGCCCCGCCAATGCCCAGCTCCTCCAATGCCCAGCCCTGCCAGTGCCCAGCCCCTCCAGTGCCCAGCCCCGCCAATGCCCAGCTCCTCCAATGCCCAGCCCTGCCAGTGCCCAGCCCCTCCAGTGCCCAGCCCCGCCAATGCCCAGCTCCTCCAATGCCCAGCCCTGCCAGTGCCCAGCCCCTCCAGTGCCCAGCCCCGCCAATGCCCAGCTCCTCCAATGCCCAGCCCTGCCAGTGCCCAGCCCCTCCAGTGCCCAGCCCCGCCAATGCCCAGCTCCTCCAATGCCCAGCCCTGCCAGTGCCCAGCCCCTCCAGTGCCCAGCCCCGCCAATGCCCAGCTCCTCCAATGCCCAGCCCTGCCAGTGCCCAGCCCCTCCAGTGCCCAGCCCCGCCAATGCCCAGCTCCTCCAATGCCCAGCCCTGCCAGTGCCCAGCCCCTCCAGTGCCCAGCCCCGCCAATGCCCAGCTCCTCCAATGCCCAGCCCTGCCAGTGCCCAGCCCCTCCAGTGCCCAGCCCCGCCAATGCCCAGCTCCTCCAATGCCCAGCCCTGCCAGTGCCCAGCCCCTCCAGTGCCCAGCCCCGCCAATGCCCAGCTCCTCCAATGCCCAGCCCTGCCAGTGCCCAGCCCCTCCAGTGCCCAGCCCCGCCAATGCCCAGCTCCTCCAATGCCCAGCCCTGCCAGTGCCCAGCCCCTCCAGTGCCCAGCCCCGCCAATGCCCAGCTCCTCCAATGCCCAGCCCTGCCAGTGCCCAGCCCCTCCAGTGCCCAGCCCCGCCAATGCCCAGCTCCTCCAATGCCCAGCCCTGCCAGTGCCCAGCCCCTCCAGTGCCCAGCCCCGCCAATGCCCAGCTCCTCCAATGCCCAGCCCTGCCAGTGCCCAGCCCCTCCAGTGCCCAGCCCCGCCAATGCCCAGCTCCTCCAATGCCCAGCCCTGCCAGTGCCCAGCCCCTCCAGTGCCCAGCCCCGCCAATGCCCAGCTCCTCCAATGCCCAGCCCTGCCAGTGCCCAGCCCCTCCAGTGCCCAGCCCCGCCAATGCCCAGCTCCTCCAATGCCCAGCCCTGCCAGTGCCCAGCCCCTCCAGTGCCCAGCCCCGCCAATGCCCAGCTCCTCCAATGCCCAGCCCTGCCAGTGCCCAGCCCCTCCAGTGCCCAGCCCCGCCAATGCCCAGCTCCTCCAATGCCCAGCCCTGCCAGTGCCCAGCCCCTCCAGTGCCCAGCCCCGCCAATGCCCAGCTCCTCCAATGCCCAGCCCTGCCAGTGCCCAGCCCCTCCAGTGCCCAGCCCCGCCAATGCCCAGCTCCTCCAATGCCCAGCCCTGCCAGTGCCCAGCCCCTCCAGTGCCCAGCCCCGCCAATGCCCAGCTCCTCCAATGCCCAGCCCTGCCAGTGCCCAGCCCCTCCAGTGCCCAGCCCCGCCAATGCCCAGCTCCTCCAATGCCCAGCCCTGCCAGTGCCCAGCCCCTCCAGTGCCCAGCCCCGCCAATGCCCAGCTCCTCCAATGCCCAGCCCTGCCAGTGCCCAGCCCCTCCAGTGCCCAGCCCCGCCAATGCCCAGCTCCTCCAATGCCCAGCCCTGCCAGTGCCCAGCCCCTCCAGTGCCCAGCCCCGCCAATGCCCAGCTCCTCCAATGCCCAGCCCTGCCAGTGCCCAGCCCCTCCAGTGCCCAGCCCCGCCAATGCCCAGCTCCTCCAATGCCCAGCCCTGCCAGTGCCCAGCCCCTCCAGTGCCCAGCCCCGCCAATGCCCAGCTCCTCCAATGCCCAGCCCTGCCAGTGCCCAGCCCCTCCAGTGCCCAGCCCCACCAATGCCTAGCCCCTCTGATGCCCAGCCCCTCCAATCCCCAGCCCAGCCAGTGCCCAGCCCTGCCAGTGCCCAGCCCCTCCAATCCCCAGCCCTTCCAGTGCCCAGCCCCTCCACGCACACGAGCCCCTCCAGGGCTTCTCCCTGCAGCTCTCTTTGAGACTGCTTCTGTCCTCATCTAACTCCTTCCAAAGCTGGAGCTGCCTACGCCCACAGCCCTTCGCGCCAGTTCCCTCCTGCCCACAGAACTCCTTGTTCTTTTGTGTGACCCTCAGAATGCAAAGAACGTGCATGTCTATTAGTGAGGCCTGTTTTCAATGGGGGTCATGCCACACCCAAGTGCAGGGAACCTCCTCAGGTGGTAACCCAGACACTCCTACCGATGGGGCCATTCGGCTCGGCCCCCAGCGCCAGCATCCTGGGCTCCCCTCCTCCTGTGCCCCCCCACGCCCCCACCCTCCTGCACCCCTCCAGCCGGGGCTGCACTGCTGGTCACAGG